GTTCAAAATGAAACAAGTAAATTGATCAAAAATTGGACTATCTTTGCCGGAGGAGTGTTGGTTAGAAGGATTGAAGAAATGCGAAAATTTAGTAAAAAAGAAATGAAGGCAGTGTGTACCAGCCAAACGATGGATGTAGGCGAAAAGCAAACTTACCAGATAAGAGCAATTTTCAAACTATTGTTTGACGTTGGAGAAAATTTTAGATGCATATACAATGACAAAGTTTTTTAATAACAAGAAGTAGCATTTACGATTGGAAATGACTTAAATACTTTCATGATTGAAATGGGAAGTTGCTGTTGGCCGACAGACACATTTAAGAAAGTTTCATGAGCTTACAAACAAGTTTTGGTAGATTTCACATGTTGTTTTGGTGTAAAGTTGATGTCATTTACACATCACAATACTGTTGTCAGGAATTGCCATCTTCTCATTTTTTTTTTTTTTTTTCAGTTTTTGCATGGTCTAAAACTTGGATACTGATCTCTTTGTCAGTCCCTATCGTCTGGCCATTCTGGTTGGTTCTTGTTGCCAGTGGTGTCGTAAGTTTAAGTTGGGCTTCCAGATCTTATCTACAAGTAGGCAGGGTCTCACTCTTCAATGACCTCATGTAAGAAACATTATCTTCAAAATCCCTCACTTTGGGGAGTTTTTAGGTAATGGACTTGGCCCTTTAACAATGGAGAAGTGGGTTCTTTGGAATTGTGATGGACAACTAATGGTCCAACTCTTCCTGAACTGCAAGAGCATTGGCTTAGCCAACCCATCAAAGGGCTTGGGCACAATTGTGAGGAAGCGGGAATCCATTTGAGTACTATCGAGTTCTTTTCATATATGCTTTCATAAAGTTTATTGTGTTGCAAACTTGAGTCCATCTTAATGGAGCTCATTTGATGATTGAAAATCTTTGACCAACAGAAATCAGAAGACGGGAGTTTCATACAAGCATACAACACTTGACAGAACTCTTTTCTCATAAGGGATGAACAGAAATCTTGAAACTAAAACACAGATACAGGGAATCAAATGATCTGGAACACAAATTGTCCTATATATATGAGAATTTATAACAACCACAATCCCACAAAGTCTCATATTAAATAACCCATTGCACCAATTCAATCCCAAGAATCATGTTATAGGTGCTTCACCACTGCCAAAGTAGCATATCAATACATTTGAGAATCTGGGCGAGAGGCAAACTATAAAACATACACCACATAGTTGAAAGCTTGGAGGAAAACAAAAGCAGAAGGCATATTTCTACCTTGTATCACAAAACCTATGCAAACTACAGCATTCACAGTAGAGGCAAAAGGTATGCAAGCCACCAAATTATATTTCAGATCCCTAGGCCATAACCCCGATCGCCATAATCCAACACCATGCTTCGTAGCCGCGCTGATCTCACGCTGTTTGAACGGCGAAGTTCATCCAATATGCATAAACATTTAAGGTTCTTTCAGTGCTTCTTCCTATTACCTTTCCAAGCCAAGAATAACTGATCCATGAACTGTATAGTCCACTCTATGACCAGCTTTCCAAGTGTCTCCCTAACATTATTGAAGCTGAAGCAACTGCTAGAGATCCTTGCACTTTCTTGTTGTCATTCATATTTCTGTTGAAATTTGTGGGAGGATGTCTAAAACTGTCAAACCGGTGCGGTTCCTCACAAAAATAGTCCACACCATACCAGCTCTTGCCAATGTCCCCTTGCCTATTAAAGCTACCATAAAAGTTCCAGGGGTTTTCTCTTCTTATATTTATCGTAAAGGTATCCCCCACATATCCTGGGAATCTATTCATATCTATGGTTAATTTGTATGATATGTCTGAGACCATTGAACTTCCCTGCTTCTGGCGTTCTGATTGGTAACTCTTGAAGTTGCTGAGGTCTTCTGTTAGCATTTCTCGTGTTCCTTTTCCTTCTAGATTTCTTCTTCGAAGTTTGAGAGAATCTAAATTTGAAGGTACTGCATTCACCCAAGGGAAAGGACTCATCACATCTCCAACCATCTCCTCTCTTATTGTTGTAACCAGGGTAATCTTCTATCTTAAAGCCGACGCACTCGATTAATGACAGGGAGTTTCTATAAGCAAGTTCCTCAAGAGTTGCTGAGGAGTGTCCAACTGTCCATCAAACCAATACACATCTTTTCCGAACAATGATACAGTATCACCTTTAAACTTAAAATGAAAGTATTAAACCGTTAGTTCATTACAATCTGATGATAATAAGATGAAAGTTAAAAGATAAGTTTTTTTTTTTTTTTTCCTTTTTCATGCAAAAAGAGTAATTTTTAACTAATTGGACTGCAGAAGACAGATGAATATGTGGAGACAATGTAATGTATTGTATTGGTATACCGTATGAATCAAGAGAAGAGGCGCAGATGTTTGTAGCAGAGCCAAAGGAAAGGGCTAAAGACAAAGAAAAGGAGAAATCTCCTTCACTCACTAGAAGAAGTTGATGGGTTGATGAGTAATGTGTCACCCATTTCTCTTCTTCTCCTTTAGCAGCCATAGCCATCACATCAGAGATTCACAGGAACACAAAGAGACTATGAAAGTTGGTGAATACTTTTGTATGGGGGAAAATTATCAGAAGATCAAAAGATTTTCTTCTCTCATTGAAAGCAAGCAGGAATATTTTATTTAACTTTTTAAATTTGTCTCTAGCTGTCATGTCACCTCACCTGTGCTGACATATGTATTTTTGCTATTTTTTTTTTCAATTTTTTTTTTAAATTATTATTAAATATGAAAAAATATATGTAAATATATATTTTTAGAGACAATCTTTAATAAAACAACATTCATGCTCATGTCCAATTACTTAAGAGTTTAAATCTTAATAATTAACGTGAGTTGCACTCATTTATAGATATGCATATGTTGTTACGAAAACTCGTAACAACTAGTGATATCCAATCAGTCACAACGGGACTTGATAGGATGTATGCGTGATTAAAATTAACTCCATATGTGTAACGATTTGAGACTAAACTAAACACCAATCTACTAATCAATCACACAAGGAATCAAGAAACAATCAAACACACACTCAAGATTTTACCGTGGTTCACTTGCTCTAGATTTGAACAAGTTATGTTTATGTTGAGCTCTAAAACACCGAGGCTCGCTGCACTAAGAAGATTAATGTCGTTTACAGAGTACACTTTCAGAATCTCAAACACAACCCAACTCACTTTGCTAATCTAACACAACTCTTTTACCATAACCTTCAAACCCAAGAGAAAGACTTCCNAATAAAAATATCGTTTAAAGAAAATTACAAATTTAAGAAGTATGAGAGGCGTGTCTTAATTCCAGAATATGATATTATGTATTATTAGAACAACGAGAGAAGTATACATTGAGAAGTAAAAACAAAGTATACCCATCCCCCAAAGATCAGATTACAAAGACAAATTTCAAATTTCAGCTACGACTCTACTCATGTGTGCGACAGATTTAGTTGCTTTGAGCGATAAGCTTCCCATCATGTATGGCAGATTTAATTGCTCTGCTCGTGCGATGTTAAAGCTTGCCAGATATGACAGGTTTTTTCCCGCTCTGCTTGTGTGTATGATATTTCTCTTTGTACTTATTCTAGTGAGAGCTTCAGTATCAGTTTGCTTCATTAGAAATGAACTAACAAAGTATACAGTTAATAATATTAGGTTTAATATCAGATATTAAAATTTAAAATTACAAAATCAGATAAAATATATAAATATATTTCTAATTTATTAATATCAATTTAAAACAAATAATTTAGATAATTGTAATGTAATTACAGAAACATTGGGTGCGTTTGGTTTATTATTTTGGATATAATTTTGTGGATAGTATTGGGTTGTTGGATAGGAGAGTATTACGAGATAAACTTTAAAAATTTATGAAAAAGCCCTTAGATTTACTAATTTAATTAAAGACTCTAATATATAAAATAACAAAAACACCCTCCCCACCTGCAGTGCCAGATTTCGGCCACCACTGCCGGAATCTGGTTGGAAAATTTTGTTATGACACAGACAGGTCGGATCTATGCCGTAACGCGTCGTTATGGCCTTTTCCGGCTAGATCCACCACGGATCTGGTCGGAAAAGGCCAAATCTACGAACTGTTGTGGCTGCGACTGCCGGAAAAGGCAGAAACGACGGCCATCTTTGGCCGTCAGCGTTGGCCAAAGATATGGCCGTCGTTGACGGCAGATCAATGGATCTGGTCGGAAAAGGCTAGATCTGGCCATTACCGACTATTTCCGGTGGCTGTGTGACTATTGTGATAGATTCTAACTACCACCGACGGTGGTTGCCGAAATCTGGCAGGTATTGGTAGGTAGGGGTGTTTTTGTTAGTTTTTAAACTTTTTTTCTAAGGGGTATTTAATAAAATTAATAAACTTATAGAGTCTCAAGTAATTAAAAAAATAGACTAATATTTTGAGAATAATGTGCCAAACAACATTTAAAAAATAAGATTAAAAATATGGATAAAAACAATAAGCCAAACGCACCCACCCATTGTTTTTTAGAAAGTATTGAGTGTTTATTTTATACTTCAAGGTTTTCGAAAAAAAAAAAAAAAAATTTACAAAACTATCTACTTGGTGAGTATTTTTAGCTTCCCTATTAAAATTCTCCCCTCGAGGTCTTGACAGGGACCATGCTGAACAGTGATTTTTCATCGAGGTTGGATAGTTTTATTTTGCATCGATTTTCCATCGAGGTTGGATGTTTTCATTTTGCATGTCATATCGCATATAATGATATAGACTGTATAAGGGTTATCACCCATACACTTATTATATGCATATTTCCATATATTTTGTTTGTTTGTAGGGCCTGAAACCCAGTATTTGAGAATCTGGGATGGATCACGGAGGCAAAACTATACAACATACACCACATAGTTGAAATCCTTGGAGGAAACAAAAGGAAAATTCATAGCATCACAAAACCTACGCAAAACTAGTATTCACAACAACTAGAGGCAAAAGGGTAGGCAAGCCACAAAAGTACATTACAAATCCAACACCATGCTTCGCAGCCGTGCTGATCTCACACTGCTCGAACCCAACACCATGCTTTGCAGGCTGCAGCCATGCTGATCTCGCACTGTTTGAACTGCGAAGTTCATCCAAATGCATAACCATTTAAGGTTCTTTCAGTTGCTTCTTCCATATCCCTTTCCGAGCCAAAAATAAGTGATCCATGAACTGTACAGTCCACTCTATGACCAGCTCTTCCAAGTGTCTCCCTGATAATATTGAAGCAACTGCTAGAGATCCTTGCACTTTCTTGTTGGTCATTCATATTTCTGTTGAAATTTGTGGAAGGATGTCTAAAACTATCAAACCTGTGCGGTTCCTGAACAAAATAGTCCACACCATTACCAGCTCTAGCCAATGTCTCCCTTGCCTTATTAAACCTGTGAGGTCTTCTGTTAGCATTTCTCTTGTTCCTTGCCCTTCTAGATTTTTTCTTCGGAGGTTGAGAGAGTCTAAAACTATCAAACCTGTGCGGTTCCTGAACAAAATAGTCCACACCATTACCAGCTCTAGCCAATGTCTCCCTTGCCTTATTAAACCTGTGAGGTCTTCTGTTAGCATTTCTCTTGTTCCTTGCCCTTCTAGATTTTTTCTTCGGAGGTTGAGAGAATATAAATTTGAAGGTACTGCATTCACCCAAGCGAAATGATTCATCACATCTCCAACCATCTCCTCTCTTATTGTTGTAACCAGGGTAATCTTCTTTCTTAAAACTGACGCACTCGATTAATGACAGGGAGTTTCCATAAGCAAGTTCCTCAAGATACCACTATCCGTCAACATGCCGCTTGCATTTCTGAAAAAACCCTGCACAAGACTCCTATGCATCCTGTCAAAACAGATTATGATGAACATTTGCAATCAGCTATATTCAGAAGAAGGAACACAAAATCCCAAGAGTTGGAATAAGGCAGCTCACTTAATCATATGCAAATTATGTTCCTTCCATGATAGCCCGCATGAGGAAAGTTGAAGATGATTCGATCAAACTTCCTCATTCGCAAATGAGGATGAAGCTTCATTTTGGTTGCATCCACAACATGTAAAATGTATGCTCCCAGCTTCTCTAGAGTTCGCAAATTTGATTTTGCTTTCTTGTATTCGTTGACCACAATTACTAATCGATCGAAAATTAATTACACAATTTCCCCAAAGAGGCAGTTAAATAAAAAAATAATAACAGATAAAGATCGTTTTTTTTTTTTTTCTTTTTTTATGCGAAAGGAGCAATTTTTAACTAATTGGACTGCGAAAAACAGATGAATATGAAACGATATCACCAAGTTCATAAATAAGCATCCATGTGTGTGTGGAGACAGTGCAATGTATTGTATTTGTATACCGTATGAATCAAGAGAAGAGGTGCAGATGTTGAAAGCAGAGCCAAACGAAAGGGCCAAAGACAAAGAGAAGGAAAAATCTCCTTCACCCACTAGAAGAATTTGATGGGTTGATGAGTAATGTTTCACCCATTTCTCTTCTTCTTCTTCTCTAGCAGCGATAATCATCACGTCAGAGACTCACAGGAACAGGGAGAGACTATGAAAGTTGGTGATTATTGTTCTATGGGAAGTGGGAAAAATATCAGAAGATCAAAAGATTTTTCTTTCTCTCATTTAAAGCAAGCAGGAATATTTTATTTAATTTTTGAAATTTGCCTCTGGCAATCCTGTCACCTCACCTGTGCTGACACATTTGTTTTTCCTATTTTTTTAAATATAAATTTCTAGAAAGTCTTTAATAAAACAACATTCTTGCTTTAAAATCTTAATAATTAACACTCATTTATAGATGGGTAATGCTATCCGGTGTGCTTCGAATTACGTGACTAAATTTTATTACATTATTTGACGCATAAATTCTACATAAATTTTTTTGATAACTTTATTATTTTCTTTTATAGATGTACAACTCGCCTTGAGATGGGATAAAATGCATTTGTGAGTAAAATTAACCAGTAGATTGGAGAATTCACAACGTGAGAAAAAAAAAAAAAAAAGGGTTTTAAAATGATTTCATAAGTTAGAACTAAACTTATATCCATTTTTATGTTATGAAAAATGTTTCCTTTATAGTTTAATCTTACAATATTCTCTTATAATTCTAACATAATAACAGATTAATATTATCACGTTAACTTCTAATATACTTAAAGCACCCAAAGGATTATTGGGGAAGGAACAATTATTCCTTATAGAGGAACAATTATTCATTTCATAAGGAATTAATGTTCATTATGAAAAGAGAGGAACAACTATTCTCTTCATAAGGAATAATTGTTCCTTATGAAAAAAAAGATTATTCCTTTCACAAGGAATGGCAATTCCTTTATAAGAATAATCAACCATTTTTTTAGTTTAATCAAAATCATTTTGTACTTTTAATATAGTAGAACTGATATGATAACATCAACTCAGTTATTACGTCGAGTTTATAAAAGAAATTTATGAGAAAATATTGTCAACGTAGCATTACTGTTATGTTATTGGTTAGTATTTGCTTTACAACAGCGAGAAATATGACGAGCAAAGTTGAACTCTCTGCCAAGGCGCCAAGACAGTTTACGTGAATTGGAAAAAGAGAGAGAAAGTCCCTCCATTCGGGTAAAAAAATCAGATTATATATGTAATTTAACTTGTGGACAATGTTTAACTTAAAAACAAACACTTTAACTTGTAAATGTGACCGATAAACAATAGTAGAATATTGGGTCACGTGGCATCGTTGGATTAACCACACAACAGCATACATACAGAAGAATTTACTACATCCATAATGAAATTGATTCATCACTTGAGAAATTTGGATATTCATTTGATGACGATGAATGCAACATGTACCAAATAATATCCAAAATTACAGTCTCAATGAAAGATTAAGGTTTTCATTTGGAATGTCTACACATAAATTAGATAAAATTTCAACCAAGTAGACATAAATTAGCTTCACAAATTAGTGTTGTTGCCAATTTTGGCATCGACCTTCACAGAATTCTTTTCTCAAATGTCACCATTATAACAATCACAAGCCATGAAAACACAAATCAATCAAATAACCCTTAAGCAAAAACAGACTTCTAAATACTGTCCTCTTGAGTTTACATTGTCCAAAGCTCAGTGTCACAAAATCGAACCATTCTGCGAGCAAAAGGAATATAACTTAGACTGTACCTGTGGCGATTCGAAAGAAAATAACATAAGCAGTTTGTATAAGATAATAGTTCAAAATGAAACAAGTAAAATTGATCAAAAATTGGACTATCTTTGCCGGAGGAGTGTTGGTTAGAAGGAATTGAAGAAATGCGAAAATTTAGTAAAAAAGAAATGAAGGCAGTGTGTACCAGCAAAACGATGGATGTAGGCGAAAAGCAAACTTACCAGATAAGAGCAAATTTTCAAACTATTGTTTGACGTTGGAGAAAATTTTAGATGCATATACAATGACAAAGTTATTTTAATAACAAGAAGTAGCATTTACGATTGAGAAAATGACTTAAATACTTTCATGATTGAAATGGGCAAGTTGCTGTTGCTGCCGACAGACACATTTAAGAAAGTTTCATGAGCTTACCAAACAAGTTTTGGTAGATTTTCACATGTTGTTTTGGTGTAAAGTTGATGTCATTTACACATCACAATACTGTTGTCAGGAATTGCCATCTTCTCATTTTTTTTTTTTTTTTTTCAGTTTTTGCATGGTCTAAAACTTGGATACTGATCTCTTTGTCAGTCCCTATCGTCTGGCCATTCTTGGTTGGTTCTTGTTGCCAGTGGTGTCAGTAAGTTTAAGTTGGGCTTCCAGATCTTATCTACAAGTAGGCATGGGTCTCCACTCTTCAACTGACCTCATGTAAGAAACATTATCTTCAAAATCCCTCACTTTTGGGGAGTTTTTAGGTAATGGACTTGGCCCTTTAACTAATGGAGAAGTTGGTTCTTTGTGAATTGTGATGGACAACTAATGGTCCAACTCTTCCCTGAACTGCAAGAGCATTGGCTTAGCCCAACCCATCAAATGGGCTTGGGCACAATTGTGAGGAAGCAGGGAATCCATTTTGAGTACATATCGAGTTCTTTTCATATATGCTTTCATAAAGTTTATTTGTTGTTGCAAACTTTGAGTCCATCTTAATGGAGCTCAATTTGATGATTGAAAATCTTTGACCAACAGAAATCAGAAGACGGGAGTTTCATACAAGCATACAACACTTGACAGAACTCTTTTCTCATAAGGGAGTGAACAGAAATCTTGAAACTAAAACACAGATACAGGGAATCAAATGATCTGGAACACAAATTGTCCTATATATATGCAGAATTTATAACAACCACAATTCCACAAAAGTCTCAATATTAAATAACCCATTGCACCAATTCAATCCCAAGAATCATGTTATAGGTGGCTTCACCACTGCCAAAAGTAGCATATCAATACATTTGAGAATCTGGGCGAGAGGCAAAACTATAAAACATACACCACATAGTTGAAATGCTTGGAGGAAACAAAAGCAGAAGGCATATTTTCTACCTTGTATCACAAAACCTATGCAAAACTACAGCATTCACAAGTAGAGGCAAAAAGGTATGCAAGCCACAAAATTATATTTCAGATCCCTAGGCCATAACCCCGATCGCCATAATCCAACACCATGCTTCGCAGCCGCGCTGATCTCACGCTGTTTGAACGGCGAAGTTCATCCATATATGCATAACCATTTAAGGTTCTTTCAGGTGCTTCTTCCATATACCTTTCCAAGCCAAGAATAACTGATCCATGAACTGTATAGTCCACTCTATGACCAGCTCTTCCAAGTGTCTCCCTAACATTATTGAAGCTGAAGCAACTGCTAGAGATCCTTGCACTTTCTTGTTGGTCATTCATATTTCTGTTGAAATTTGTGGGAGGATGTCTAAAACTGTCAAACCGGTGCGGTTCCTCAACAAAATAGTCCACACCATTACCAGCTCTTGCCAATGTCTCCCTTGCCTTATTAAAGCTACCATAAAAGTTCCAGGGGTTTTCTCTTCTTATATTTATCGTTAAAGGTACCCCCACATATCCTGGGAATCTATTCATATCTATGGTTAAATTTGTATGATAATGTCTGAGACCAATTGAACTTCCCTGCTTCTGCGTTCTGATTGGTAACTCTTGAAGTTGCTGAGGTCTTCTGTTAGCATTTCTCGTGTTCCTTTTCCTTCTAGATTTCTTCTTCGAAGGTTGAGAGAATCTAAATTTGAAGGTACTGCATTCACCCAAGGGAAAGGACTCATCACATCTCCAACCATCTCCTCTCTTATTGTTGTAACCAGGGTAATCTTCTATCTTAAAGCCGACGCACTCGATTAATGACAGGGAGTTTCTATAAGCAAGTTCCTCAAGAGTTGCTGAGGAGTGTCCAACTGTCCATCAAACCAATACACATCTTTTCCGAACAATGATACAGTATCACCTTTAAACTTAAAATGAAAGTATTAAACCGTTAGTTCATTACAATCTGATGATAATAAGATGAAAGTTAAAAGATAAGTTTTTTTTTTTTTTTTTCTTTTTTCATGCAAAAAGAGTAATTTTTAACTAATTGGACTGCAGAAGACAGATGAATATGTGGAGACAATGTAATGTATTGTATTGGTATACCGTATGAATCAAGAGAAGAGGCGCAGATGTTTGTAGCAGAGCCAAAGGAAAGGGCTAAAGACAAAGAAAAGGAGAAATCTCCTTCACTCACTAGAAGAAGTTGATGGGTTGATGAGTAATGTGTCACCCATTTCTCTTCTTCTCCTTTAGCAGCCATAGCCATCACATCAGAGATTCACAGGAACACAAAGAGACTATGAAAGTTGGTGAATACTTTTGTATGGGGGAAAATTATCAGAAGATCAAAAGATTTTCTTCTCTCATTGAAAGCAAGCAGGAATATTTTATTTAACTTTTTAAATTTGTCTCTAGCTGTCATGTCACCTCACCTGTGCCGACATATGTATTTTTGCTATATTTTTTTTCAAATTTAAAAAAAAAAATTATTAAATATGAAAAAATATATGTAAATATATATTTTTAGAGACAATCTTTAATAAAACAACATTCATGCTCATGTCCAATTACTTAAGAGTTTAAATCTTAATAATTAACGTGAGTTGCACTCATTTATAGATATGCATATGTTGTTACGAAAACTCGTAACAACTAGTGATATCCAATCAGTCACAACGGGACTTGATAGGATGTATGCGTGATTAAAATTAACTCCATATGTGTAACGATTTGAGACTAAACTAAACACCAATCTACTAATCAATCACACAAGGAATCAAGAAACAATCAAACACACACTCAAGATTTTACCGTGGTTCACTTGCTCTAGATTTGAACAAGTTATGTTTATGTTGAGCTCTAAAACACCGAGGCTCGCTGCACTAAGAAGATTAATGTCGTTTACAGAGTACACTTTCAGAATCTCAAACACAACCCAACTCACTTTGCTAATCTAACACAACTCTTTTAC